TGATCTTTGGGATTGAGTAAATTTTATTGGGTGATTTCTAGAACATAACTTCCGTTTTATCTGAGGTTTAATGTTAAACCAAAAGAGGCGGCAGCTTACGCAAATTCGTTGACCTTGAGATCATGTTCAGTGTGAGCATGTAAGGCGTAGAGAAGCTGTGTTATGATTATTTCCTTTGTTTTGGTATGGGACAGTAGACTTTGAAGATTGAACAGCAAAATTAAATATTACCCTGCATAGTAGGACTATGTTAATTATTCTAAGCTAACGAAACTGGGTATTTGCTTTGAAAACAAAATCTTGACCTATGGAAGTTAGTGTGTTTCAAAAACATTTTACCATAAATTTATTCGCCATACCTGCGAATATGACTTTAACCGTCTTTGACATGTAATTAAATAGCTACTTTCATGTCGCACACACCTTACATGTGCAATGTAAACACACTGATTTAGCACAGCAAGATGAAGCTCTATATGGGGGATATTAAATTACTAACATAAAATACTTAACCCATTAGCTCCTTCTGCAGTCAGAGACGTTTTCCCATTTTAGTCCTAAACAGTAGTAGAAAGTCTAAAATCCCCCTATTTAATATACTTGTTTTAAACTTTTTTAAAAAGTAAATTTCTTCTAGTCTCGTTGCAAGCATGATAGCAAATCATTGTGGAGATTACCAATTTTATTTGTAATAAAATCGGAAAGATGTTGCTTAAATAATTTTTAAAACGAACAGGCCCATAGTCCTAAAGTGTGAAAATGGGTATTGAAGCTTTTTTATATTCTAATGGTATTAAAAGTATATATTTTTATAAACTAGACATATTCTTTTTTTTTTTAATTTGTTTGTTTGTTTATATGTATTAGATCTTAACTTTGATTATTTTTTTTAAATAAAAACTTTTTTTTTCTTCTAAAATTGGGGGTTATCCCTCTTAACTTAGGGTTTTTCCTAACTGGAAATAGGAGCTTTTGGTTTAATAAACTTATAATGCACATGCATTCACTATTAAACTGATAGATAAGATTTTTAGTAAAAGTAGATGTATTTTACCTAATTTAAATCTAGGTCTAAAACTATATTAGACCTATCCTTACAAGTTTTTATTTCATATTTTTTTGGATGTAGAGGCATTTAATCATTTATCTCTAAGTAAGTAAGTAGGCCTATAAACTAAAAGTATCATAGATCATGATTAGACATTGTACATTTAGATCTACATCTATTATAATAAGACTCTAGGTCTAGATATACATACAAGCAAACGTTTTTATTTAAAAAATTGGATTTTGCCAATTAGCTATTTTAATAGCTCCAATCATAAAATTTTTACATTCACGCATTTGCTTTACTTAAAATATTATTATTTTGTTGAATTGTTTCTAATACACTATATCAGTGATACGCAAATTAAGAACCGCTGGCAATATATGGCTAGTATATATATGCTGTGCTGTGGTTGAATTTCTAATATAGAGTATAAACAACGTTAAGAGATCTAGGCTACTAGTCCTAGATTAATACTACACTAGAAGAGAGATCGACTACTCTAAATTGCAACAGTGAATAGAAGGGCCTTTTCAAAGTGTTTTATTTCTAGGGGAAGGGATGTTTAATAATGTTTGTGGAAATGGGTAATTCTAAATAAGGTTCGTGTCTACATCTATGACCAAAGAATAAAAAAATGTAAAAGAGTGGACTAAATTGCAAATAGTGAGGTATCTTCTTTCAAACTGTTCTGCGCGAAGAGCAAAGATTCAATAAATTATTTGTCAGTACTATAATTTATGGGTAAAAAAATGTGTGAAGTGCTGCTGCATTATTATTTGCTAGGATGCTACAGATGATTCAAACAAGGGTGTGCTTTACTGAGTGTGGATGATAATCAAGACTTCCTAATTATATGAAGCTATTGTAAAGCTGTCTGTTCCACTGAATATACAAGGGCCAAACCGGGGAGGGGGGGGGGGATATTTTTTTAATTTAAAAGTACTGTATGTGTTGTGGGGGTGGGGAGTCGTTATAATGCAGGCAGATGAAAAGGCTACAACTGATGGGCCTTATACAAGCCTTGTCTTTGAGTCCGCTGATTAAGGACGAGTGCAGTACTTACTCAGCACCATCTGTAACCCACATAGTTTGCCACATCATCCTTCTCTTTTTTTTCTAATTGCCATGTATATTGACATTTAGAACTAAAAGAACACTCATCCAAAATAAGTAAATATATTTCCTCAAATTATTCAAACGAGCGAGGCTCTGTCACCTGGTTTTGTTTCTTATTGAAATAAGAAAACTAAATAAATGATAGAAACAGAATAATACTCATTTCAAATAACACTAGTGAAATATAATGACTTACAATAAGAGCAAGAGTAGCTTCCTCCACTGTTGACATTTCAATGAGGGCCATCTTGCGATCATTGCTAATAAAAAAATATATTTTTAAACTGATTAGCCAATTTAAATAAAATAGTAACATAGATTAAAAAGTTAAAAGGGAGTTTGATGTAGAGAAATTAGGTCATTTGTTGACCTCTCTTTCTCTCCTAATCAACGATATTGCCGTTGATTTTACCCCATTCTGCAGCCTATGAAGGTATTTTGGTAGATGTTTAAGAAGTCATTGTTTTGTTTTTTTCCCCTCAAAATGTTTTTAATTGCTCATAATTTAATCTTGAATAGTTTCCATCTGGAAAAATTATTTTTTTCATTTTTCATGTTTTTACCAAAAATGATGGTTTTAAAAAGTGAGGGGGAAAAAAAGGCTCTATTTTTCATATTAATTTTTGATAAGTGTTAACATGGAATATTGACCTCAAGACTATTAATTTAAAGGTTCTATATATGTTATATATATATATTAAGTTTTGATAAAATATGAATAACTATCATACTTTTAGTTCTATTTCAGTCAGAAAATATTGCCTAGATCTACTTTAAAGAGACTTGTCGACAGTTGATCTAAGTTTTTATTCCATTATTGAAAATTTTTTTTTTTTTGGTTTATAAAAATTTTGTTTTATCTATAAAAAAGTGTGCATAGCCCTTTAATTAAATACCAAATGTAACATTTTCTGGTAACAAAAAAAATTATTTTAATTTAATCATAACAGGGTAGGGAAATACACGTGAGCAAAATGAATAAGTCAGAGAGTGGAAGATAACTACGGAGAGAAGTTAAGCCAGAGTTAACCCTGCTCATCCAGGACTGCTGGTGTCATTGTAAAGTAAATATATATACTAGTATATGTGTAGTCTTTAATCATTAAGGGAAGCGTGGTCGAGAGGCTTAAGTGCGCTTGAACTTGGCTTGGCTACCTATGAAGGGGGCTTGAGGTTCGAAATCTGACTAAAGCAGAGTTGTGTTTACTGAGCACCTGAAGGCAGCACGGGAAAACCTCCTCCTAGATACCCCCCCCCCCCCCCCCCCGGTCCACAACTGAGATTGGATCAAAGTGCTCTGAGCATGCTATAAGCATGAAAGTAGCGCTATTTCAAAGTCATAATTTATTTATTAAATTGTATTCTTTTTATAGAAACCAGTGTGCTAGAAACTTTGTCAGGAAAAAGATTGGTTTGAATACATGAAGCATCAGCACTTACTATTAGTAACCCAAATCTACATATCAGGAAGGAATGTAAACAAAAACAAAAAATTAAATACATTCAGAATTTTCATTTTACATAATTAGGAAAAAAAAACAGGGGCAATTTTATTTGTTGGAATTCACAACTCAATGAAAAAAAAAAAAAAACCCACTAATGCTAAGATTTTTTTATGATTTTGCTGAATGTTAATTTTTCTGAAAGAGATGAAGCATTTTTATCTTTAATCCTCCTTACAAATAATCAGACGTAGATCATGGCAAATAAATAAATATATTAACAGCTTACTTGAAAAACTTGAACGACTTCACATTGCCAAACTCTGAAAACATGTTACGAATATCATCTTCCTCAAGTGTAGCCCTAATTGAGAAATAAATATGATTTCATTTCAACAGCTATAAAATAAAATATTCATTTAGGTATATAAAACCCATCATAAATTTTATACTTACACATTGTACAAGTGCAAAACTGCAGTTGGGGGGAAAATGTAGTTTTTGGACCCAAGCCTTTTAAATCGATGGTGAGGAGAATTGACAAAGTCTTTTGTCAGACCTGCATCCTAAAATATAAAAAGGTAAATTAATGTTTAACATTCTTTTTTGATTATCATAGAAAGAAAAAATGAGCTTTTTATAAAAGAGATAATGACTTACAGACTGTCCATCTTTAGGCATTTGTATCAGCTGGTGTTTTGATGGTGCAACTCTCAACTGTTTACCCCATAGTCTGGCTTTGTCCAAGTATGTGATAGCTAAACAAAATTTTAACATTTGTAACTTCTTTAAAGCTATAATTCAATACTTAAAAACAAAATTTACACATCCCAAATGTTCCCTAGCTATTATGAATTTGTTAAAGCAGTTATTCCAAAGAAAAGATTTCAAGGAAGAAAATAAAATCAAATAAAAGGTTAAAACTTTAAAAAATATTAAGTAGAATTTTTTTTTATAACTGTTAGGCAATGTCTTCAAGTCTGAAATGGATAGAAAAATCATTATAAAAATTCATTTTAATTCTTTAAAAAAAAAAAGGATCCCCAAAAAAAAGCTTGCATGTAAGAATTGTCGCATAAAATTTTTGTCACGTTTAATGGTGACTATCATGTTCACTCAAAATAATCATATTGTCACATACTTAGTAATGCTCAAAGCCAAAAAAACTACTTCAAGTTTTCATAATTCAATGATAAATTGAATAAATGTAAATAAAATGATACTTGTACTATACATGAAGACTTACTTCAAAACATTTTTTTAGGACTTTTGTCATTAATTTTTCCAATTAAGATTTTCAAGAGACCTTAATGATGACCTACCCTGTTGGGCCTGAGATGGATCAGCCATCTGGACTAAAGCATTGTCTTTTTTGTTGAACAATATCTTTACACGGTGCACATTACCATACACACCTAGAGCAGTTCGACAAATAGAGACATTTACATTAATTTTCTTTGCTGCCCAGAAACTTTTTAATGCTAAACAATGAACTAAGATGGGAAAAATATGCTCTGTTTTTTGACAGTGTTGACCTATGAGACATGTAATAGAAAGACATTTGTATGCAAATTTAGCATTTATTGCAAACATAAAACACATTTAAACACTTTAAATTTAAAAGCCAGAAAAGTTGAATGCATGCACTACACTACGATGGATTTAAATTGTGCAGTTTATAAGTTGCAGATTGTATTGCTTGTCTCATGTAAGAAAAAAAACAACTTACCTCCTGACATGAGTTCAAAAAAGTAATATTTACTAATAGCAAGAATATTTATCAACAATGTAACCTGTATATGATCATTATCTTTATAAACAATTTCTTTTTTTAAATAGGTATTTCATATATATAATACAAAATTCACAAGAATACCAAAAGAACAACCAGGTGGTTTTCAAACACATTATTTATAAATAGAATCATTGAAATCTATGACAATGGATTCTTATTTGAAAAAAAACAACAGTTTTTTTGAGGTTTCTTTGCTTATCAAGTATTTAATTGAGACCAATAGCACATATATACAGAAGAGCCAGACCCAATTGAAAGTTGAATCTACTTCATTAAGCATATAGTGCACAACTACTTCCAGAACTAGTCAAATGGACACACACACACAAAAAAGTATAAAATATTTTGAAATACATATACAAAAACAAAATATATTAAAAATTGACATTTGTTCAACTTACTTTAATAATAAAAAAAAAATTACTCTGAATAAGTCTTATCACAAACGAGGTTCAAGATACTAAAAGACTCAATACAAATTTACACATTCACTTGAGTTCAGTAAGAAATGAATGATAAATATAAGAATGAGGTTGACAAATATTGAATGCTTAACAGTCATTATTGCAATCTCTACAAGAAAATTTATCTTTAAGAGAGATGATGATTCCATTGTTGACTGTAAGACTCAGCATAAAAGATAGAATCATTGTGTGAATTCAATAGAAAGTTGTAAAATATAAGCAAATTAATATTAGATTTTAGTCTGTTGGTTTGTGTGTACTGTAGACACAGATTAATTTGTTTTAAAATGATACTAAAAGAAGAATTGGAAAAGACATGACATACCAAACAGTATAAAGAGTGCATCTGGTGTAACCTTCTATAAAAGGCAGAACCAAACAAGGTTTTAAGTTTGTATAAGGCAAGGCAGCATGGGACAAAGTGACGAGTAGGGTAGAGTCAGTTCAGTCGAAGTAGGCAGCAACAGCAGCAGCATGTGGTCAGGTGTGTAGATCAGACAAGAGGTAGTCCAGCAACACATCAGGATGAGAGCAGGCATGATTTTTGTTTAATGGCAGGGACATGGGGATGGGGCAGATGAGAAGAGACAAAAAGAGAGATAAAAAAATAAGTAATGAATAATTCTAATCTCAAGTTAGAGAACATGCTAAGTGAATCTTTATAGCCTAGATATATAAATGTATTTTATGAATGAAAGTAATATTGGTGTCAAGAATCTACCTGATAAACAATAACAAGCACAGACATATTAAAAGATTCACAAATAAAGCTTACATTAACGCAAAACATCAAACTGGGCACACCATAATTAAGAGAAAGTTTAATCAACCAATTTAGTAAATTACTCAATAAGAGGATTTTAAAAATATTTTACTATTTAGGCCTAGAAATCATTGTATTTCACAATCATGCTTAACATGCAGCTTCTATTATCCGGTTAAAATTTTAAAATTTCTAGGAAATCATGTCATGCACTTTTTTTTCATGCACTAATTTCTTTGACAGCAGAGAACAAAATAATTTAGCTATCAGGTGTGCTCGCAATTAAACTTGTTTCAGTTAAAATTTAAAAAATATAAAAATCACATTATAACTATAGAATTTTACCATTTGTAGTCGGGTTTAAAAAAATTATTCAATTAAATATTTATCCATAAACAAATTATTTTATAATATTGTTATAAATATCTAGAAAGTGTCTATACAACTTAAACATCCAAGATATATTGGAACAAAAAATCTAACCTCTTCATCAAGATTTGAAACAAGAACACAAGGACTGCCATTGCCTTGATTCATCCCTTGAAGATTGCCAAGTCTGTTGCCCATTTGACTGCCTCCTCCGAAGTTAAAACCACCACCTCCTCCAAGACCACCGAGCCCCATCGAATTTCCTCCTGAATATTAAGCCAAATCATTAAAAAAGTTAAAAATTGGATAAACATAAAATACACATATATATATATATATTATATTAATATTATTTTAGATCCTAACAATGCCAAGAGTGTCTTTTGTCTACAATATATGAATAGTCATATTCAAACCTGGATTGCCCAATGGTAAGCCATTGTCTATTCCATCTCCAGTGGGAAGATCTGGACGTGTAAAATCTCGACTTTTATCATTATTGTACTTAACATTGAGATTTGTTAATCTTGAATAATCAATCTTTAGAGTATTGCATCCATTATAGATGTTTTGATTGTCAAGTGACTGTAACAAAAAAAATTTTATAACATAAATGCTACTTATTCAGAAATTATGAAAAAAAAAAAAAAAAAAAAGATTTAAAAAAAAACTGACTAAAGCTAATGTGTTAAGAAACTCAACCCAATATAAATAGGTAACTCACATCTTTAGCAGTAGCTGCAGAGATAGGATCTGAAAACTGGATAAGAGCTTGGAATGTATCTGAAATGACAATGTACACAATGTGAGGCCAAGAAATGAGAGTAAGTTTTGAAATCATTTTAAATCTACACTGAAGTGACCAAATTTGAAAATTAAAGCTTAATCCTATCAACCTCAATCCATACAAAAAAAATATAAATCCAAATCATAAAACAAATTTCTGTGGAAAATCACTTATAATTAAAATTGTACAAGCATTGTACAAAAAAATTAACTGACTAGAAATGAACCAATCAACAATGAACCACAATCTCGAACCAATCAACAATGATCAACAATGACCAACAATGAACCACTCTGAATTTGTCTTTTTTTTTTTTTAAAGACATTTTCAGAGAGCCCAATAATTCTTGACCATTTCTTTGAATATTTTTTTTCTGTTGGTCAGTGTTGTATTTGTTTATGCAAAAACTAGTTAAGATCTCAACTTGAAACTGCCGAACATTTAGTACATATTTTTTTCCTCTATATCGCCTATTTTGTTTACCAGTTTATTGCACTGAATGTGCAGTACAGTGTGACACACATATTTTTGAATGCACTTTTTATTATGCTACATTTATTTTTTTTTTAATTTAAGTTTCACTTTGATACTTACTGTTTTTGGTAAATGTGATGATCTTTAAAATTTTACCGAATCTTGAAAAAAGCTGTGAATAAAAGATGAAAATATACTTAAGATCATCCTACCACTGAAAAATTCCCAAAGCACATAACAGTGTCAGGCAAAATCAATGGTTTGTTAGACAAAAATCTCATGTAATAAGCATTTTTACTAAGTTCCACCACATTACAAAAATTATCTTAAGTGCAAAAGTTATATAAAACTAAAAAAAAACAATTGTATAGTCTGTGAAAGTACTTACTTGGTGTAACACTTCCAAAGTGACTGGATACAAGACATTATCAACAATAACTCTTAAGATTGTAGTTTCCCCACCACCACCACCACCACCAACAGCTCCACCTGCACCAAGAAGACCTTGGGCTGCTTGAAGGGCTGCTTGAGCACTGGTGTTCTTATGGGGAAAAAAAGATATGTCTAAATCAAATATTTTCAGGCAATAGTCCTATAAGCAATGTCAAAGTCTCACATTTTCAAGCCTCACATTTCCCAACTCAAAGCACACCAAAAAATGTTAAAAGAAGAAATGCTTACTTGTGCATTGGAAGCATCTGTCTTTAATTCCTTATGATTTGAAAATTGAACATAACAAGACTTCAGCCGAACTTGAGCAGGATTTGTTTTGAAGTAAGAAACCATATTAACTGCACAGGACTCCTCTTGGAATTCCAAGAAAGCCTGAATACGTACATAAAATTAATGTAAATATAACTGAAATTAAATTCAATAGTTGAAATAATATGAAACCAGGTCAATAGATAGCTTTTTGATTACATTTGTATTAAATTTTATACTGTAACTACTACATAATAATTTTGGTTATTTTTTTTATAGCTAGTGTAATTTTTATATTAGAAAAGTGTAATAAAAGTATTATTACTATTTTAGCATTACCAAGTGTCACCAACCTGGTTTTTTTGTTTCAAGACTAACACATTAGTCATTTTGCCAAAAGGCATACCAAGCTGAACAACATCAGTTTCAGCAGCATCATTGGGAAGACTGCGAATATGTACCACACGAGAAGGTGGATTTCCACCATTGTCAAACTTTGGCTGAATCATAAAACAAATTTGTTAGTGCTTTAGATTGTTTTTATTTTAATCTATAAGGAGAAATACAAAAGGGGAGAGGAAAATAAAATAATCATTAAAAAAATTGTACTTTATTTGTAACAAAATAATCTGAGTTTTCATTCTTGGAAAAAAAAATTTAATATTTGAAAGTATTTTATTTAAAAACAAACAAAAAATGAAATGTCACTTATATTTCCAGGATGGCTTGAGAATTTCAGAGTATTGTATAAGACTACAAACTATGTAATATAGATAACAGAGTTAATGTCGACATGCATTTTTAAAGTGGGTAGAAATGAGAGAAATGTTCACATTACCTTTTTGGCATCATTTGTATCACTGATGCCATCATTCACCTGCATCATTTCTTCTTGGCCACGCTATTCAAAAATAAATAACATTAAAGCTTTTAAGTATTTTAACAAAATATTTATTTTCATATTTGCTTAAATGAATAACAAAGAATGCATAAATCAAACTATAGACCAATTAATGAAAAAGAATACTATAAAATAAAAAATACCTTCATTCCAATAGATGTAAATTGCTCCCTGAAAAAAAAAAAAATTAATAAGATGTCATATTAGAAAACTATATTTGAAATTATTCTCTTTTGTAAAAATAACAGTCTGAGTGCTTCATACCCAAGGTTTTGGGTTTACAAATAAATCCTTTTTCTTCAAGACATAATACACAGTGCTAAATATAATGGTTAAATATTTTTCAACAGTACTAATGATGCGGTATACATAGTAATACTTGACTGAAGCTATATTTGACAGTGAAAAAAAATAGAACATCCTCAAAACAAAACATAAAAAAAAAATAATTTTATAATTTATTTTGTTACATGTACCATTTGTTTATTAAATGGATTTTATAGCATGGACTTTGAAAATAAATAAAATGTGATAAAACAACTTAGTTGACTGTTTCTGAAAAGGAAAAAACATTTTTTATCAGTAAAAAAAAATAGAAAATAAAAATTCTTAAATTTTTGTCAAAGTAAGGGAAAGAAATTTTGTCAGTATAAATGAGTCTAAAGAAATTGTAATTCCTTAAATTTGGGAAAATTTCAATCAACAATAATGTGTGATGGGGAAAAAAAAGCAACCCAAAGAAATCAATGAAAATACTGAAGTTTAAATGTTTACTCAGAGTGGAAATTCAATCCAGCTTTTTTTTTTTTTAAATATAATCTTATTCAGAATGGCTGATCATCATGTTAACAAAATACTAGCTATTATAGAAATATGAACCAAAAATGGTCTGCTAGCATCATTTTAAAGTAGATTCTAATGAAGGTAAGGTACAATAATTTTATTGGGCCAATAAGCTGTTAATCAACAGCACTGAGTTACATTTAGATAACTTTAACATTTTAGAAGAGTTTAGAGCTATCTACAGCCTAAGTCAAGGTAACTGTGTTAGGTAAAACATATATCATCTAAAACTCTAGATTAGATCCAAATAAGGAGTAGGCCTAACAATAATGATGCCTAACCTAAGCATTTCTTCCAATAATGTTATAGATCAATTTCAGATGAAGTATTTATCAAAGAAGCAAGGCATGTTTTACAGATTAGTTATTTAGAAAAAAAAAATAAGTTTAACAAAAACAGAAACAAAGAACAAGTTTCATTAGGAAAGGGTGGGGATTGAGGATGGATATGTTGATCATGGTTGTGACAAGTTACCCTAGCAAAATGGTAGGCCTAAGAGTATATCCTA